GCAATGTTCTCCTCATGCAGGAGATCAACCATGTTTCCTCAGCTTTTGGTATGAATGCTTTCAGTTTCATATCCTATCCTCAGCCCACTCCTGTTTCCTCAGATACAATCCAGGTCTGGGTGGAATCTGATGGAAATGCTAAGGAACAATGTGAAGCTATTCCCTCTAGTTCTCTCCACAGAGAGAGACACAAAAAACCCTATGTTTTACCTTTTGAGGGTCCTACTCTATTTGGAGACAAGACCAATTTCATGCTGGGAAAGATAGTAACCATCACTCCTAAACTAACGATTTGCTCGAGTTGGGTCCCTATTTAGTAAAGCGCTTAAGCATATGCTTCATGAGCAGCGTAAATATTCTGGAATAAAGTGCCTTTTATTTCAGAATAGTATCCGCAATGGAGGGCTATTTCAGAATTTCTATTCTGGTCAATTTCCCTGCCTATATAAGGCAAAAGGGACACATGTATCACTATCACAGCCAGCAGGCAGGGTGGATTTGATTTAAACCAAATTGATTTAAATTATGGTTTTTATTGAGTATTACTCACTGCATTCACTGACACTCAGTACTACTTTAAAGCTGAAATTGTAAAAGGAAAATCTGCCTATTTCAGCTATTTATTTTTTTATCACAACTACATCTAAAATGATAGTACCATAGAGTAACAACTATCTTTTTTGCTCAAACATGAGAATTCAAGAGTAGTCCAGAAGAAAGACAGGCAGTCCTTAAGAAAGAAGTATGAAATAAAAAAGTTTACCAATCTGAAGATCCTGCATGTTCAGACATGTTCCCTTTCATCATCTTCAACACAGCAACCTCCTGAGAAGGAACAATTCTCATGATGTTGTTTCATTCGGGCAACCAGGCCTTGCATTTCTTTGTGGCACTGTTTGCATTTGCACGCATGCCTGTCTTACCCACAGGTAGAGGAACTTCATTAAAATATTCCCAAACTGGTCTCTTTTACAGCCTGCTGCCATTATAGCTTTTTCCCTTCTAGTGAGCGAATGGTATGGTAGATCTCAAATCAATGAAGGCTACACTCAGAAAGACCTGAAGACTTCTGAATATGCTGCTCAAACAGTTTCAGTTTTGTTTCTACTGCCTGTCCCTCCGTTCTCACATTTGTCTCCAGACTTCTTCTCCTTGTCCAGATCTATTCTGCCCCCAACAATCTTCTATTCACTGAACCTTTTGAAAACTTGCACTTTTAGAAAGAGGTAAGGGATTGACTCTGTGTATGCAATTTTTCAGAGGGACAATAGGGTTGAGGTCTATTATTTCCCATCTCTATATTTTATTTATTTATTTAAAAACATTTTTGCTGTTAACAAGCATGTTAGCTCTGGAGAAACAAATCCACAGTTTGAGAACTGCAAAACTAAGCCTTTTGGTATCTGATGATATCTTCTAGACTGAGCACTGTCTGATTGGGTAGATAGAAAGATTAACCTAAATAATCTATACAGAAGCCCCTGGAACCCCATAAGATTAGGTCCCTAATCCATGAACTATTGGAACTCATTTACAAAACTTTTCTTAAACATTACATGACTATATTGTCTCATACTATAGAATTAGAATGTATAATCCCTATTCCATGATGAGATATCTTTGAGCTATAATGTATCTTAATTAAAACTATCTTTAGATAGGTTTTTTCCTCTAAAAGCATTTTATCAAAAAAATCCAATTTAAATAAAAAATCTCCAATTTAAATTAAAAAAATCTGATTATTTGCCATAATTTACTGATGTAAGAGCGGGGGAAGCATTTGTTTAGAAAGAAATGAAGAGTAATTTGTTCTGCTCATGGCTAGAAAAAACTACCTGCCACAATCAGGACCAGATTGCTCACCTCAATTGCACTGGTGTAAATCTGATAACTGCATTTAAATCAGTGGGGGAACGCCTGTGTAACAGCGATCAGAATCTGGTTTCACTTGAAGCTTAGTTTAAGTATTATTTGCTAATATCCCATCACCTTTTATTTTTTCACTTATAAGATTCAGCTTACAAATCCATCCGTTCATATCCTTACTAGGACCAAAGTTTCCAAGAGCAGCCACTGATTGTGGGTGCTTTTGAGGTGTGGTTTTCAGAAGTACTATGTACTACCTTCAGCTCCCATTAACTTTTGTTAAAGTTGTGGATGCCCAGCACTTCTGAAAATCATCTCAAGTTGGGCACAAAAAGGCGGAGACAGCCAGAATCATTGCTGATTTTTGAAAAATTTGTTCTGGATATGTTACAAGCTGAGAAAAGTGAGCAAACTTGAAAAATGACTACAAAAATAATTGGATTATTTGCATAAACTATTAACTGTTAGGACATTTCTACTTCTATGTGTATTCTACTCTTGTCCTACTTTTCTTAGAAACAAAGTAGATATTATGAAATTGACAGTAAATATAATTGAATACAATATTATTGGACATTATAGTATGAAATACTATACATAAAATAAAAACCTCATCTTGCAAACTCTTACTTACAAGAGTAGCCCCATTGATTACTAAATCAGGAGTTAAAAATGAATTTTGTTATGTTAGATATTCCCCATTGCATTGCACCTGGGCACTGCAGATGTCATTTAATATGTGTTTGGTAAACCAATATATACTACATATATGGTGGTATTGTGGTATCCACATGATAAATTACAGAGCTGTCTGGTACTCTTTTCTCTAATTCATATCCAGCTGGACTCCTTCGCCACTTGCAGATTTCTAAACAGCTTAATGCAACTGCCATTTAGAATGAACAAAAACACAAAATACCAGGTGACAGCAGTATTTCCTTATTCACTCGAAACGGGGGGGGGGGGGGGGGGGGTTCCTCCTGTACATTACACTGGCCTGAGAACCAGTATTGGCAGTACTCATTTTGAAATCAAGGATTCAAAAAATAGTTCCAGTACAATTTTTTAAAATTCTGTAAACCATTGCTAAAATAGACGTTTCAGTAAAATGTGGAGAATGCATGATGATGTATCGTGGAATGCAGGTTTTATTTATGTTAGTTTGGGACAATGAGCTAAACTCTAAATGTTCCATGGTCATAACTTTTGTATCAGAATCAGCTTATTTGACGCTGATAAATACAGTGACCATTTAGTGAGGACAGCTGCTAAATTGTCAGATAGACTTCAGGATATTTCAGTGGCTATTGCTGTGACATGAATCTTGTACCTCACTGTAGGTTCTGTACTACATTAATGAAACAAATTTTTTTTTTATCTGCAAAATGTGTTCTACTGTTCATAATTAAGGCTACGATTTAGTCATGGGTATTTTTAGTAAAAGTCATGGACAGGTCACAGGCAGTTAACAAAAATTCACTGCCCGTGACTTGTCCATGACTTGTACTATATACCCCTGACTAAATCTTACCGCAGGGGGGATGGGGAGCGGGGGCAGTGGCACCAACTGCCCGGGGCCACCTGAGCAGCAGCTGGTGCAGTTGCCCCCGAGGCCGCTCCAGCAGTGCCGATGGGGCTGGCTGCGGGGTCGCCCGAGCGGCTGGCTCCGGAGCCGCTGCAGAATTCATGGAGATCACGGAAAGTCACGGAATCTGTGACAGACATGGAGCCCTATTCATAATCACAGTTGCAGTTGGCATATCTCATTCCATTTTGGGTATGCAATTAAGCTGATTCTACTTTACATAGCTGTACAATAATTAAAATTTACAAGAAAACTGGAGAGCTCAGGAGATGATCGTGTCTTTCAAATTGTTGTTCTCCAGTTCATATCCTTCCTAGGTCAGTAGTGAACAAAAGTTTATTACACCACTGAATAGCTTTATGTGAAACAAGCTGGTCACAATCCAGTTAGTGGACAAGTGTTCACATCACAGTTGGTACCCTTGCTGACTTTTAGCTAGAAAGGGAATAACTGGATGAGTTGGGATGCTAAGGGCCAGAGCATGCCTTCCTGAAAATCCCTTGGAAAGCAAGAAAATTGCAGCATTTCTGGAAGAATGGGCCATTCTTTGTTTTGAGGGAAGTGTAAGTGGCATTGTCATCTCCCCAGCAGACCCTTCACCATGTTTAGGGCTTTGTTGTTGTGGGGGTTGGGTGGACTTGACTTGGTGTGAGAGGATGGCCGCTCTTGGGGTGACGATTTCTCCTCTTTCCATCCAACTTTCCCTAAACTCAAAACAAAAAAAAGCACCTCAGGAGAATTTCTCCATGAATATTGTGCACATGCTCTCTCCCCCTTTCCCCTCCCCACCCCCACCGTGAACTTACTTCCACTCCCATGGCAAGCGTACTGTCCTGTTCTGAACTCCAGGGGAATTTCCTTGACTCATCAGTAGCTGGACCTCATTAACCCCTTGGCAGCTTTAAGGACTAAGCATTTCTCAGACAGGAGAATGTAGGACAGGACCTATCACTGTTTGGCAAGAGGCAGCTGGGGAATAGCTGAGGAAGGTAGAAGCTGGAAGGTAGATTTGTTGTAAGCTATTTTACATGTATTTGATGTGTTATATGCTGACAAGGAAAGAGCAGCCTTTGCCTGGAACACTGGTGGGATTTTATTGGTGTCTGTATAAACATAAATTTTAGGATATGTAATTAGGTTTTATTTTCACAGGTGGATTTTAGCCTGCCTAGTATTTGGTGCTACTGCTCTTCAGAAGCCCATAGGAGTAAAATTCCTCAGGGAGCAGTGTTGCCAGGGGAACGGGCAGAGGCAGTAGTGGGAAGGCAATAGATCTTTATGTGGGTGTCTCAAGATTTGAAGGATAGTCCCATGGATGTCAGATCATTCACGGCTTTGGAAGGTCATACCCCCGTCCCTTCTTTTTATAAGGGACAGGGGCAAGGCAAACCCATAGTTAGAAAATACTGTTCATATGCTGAGATTCCCATGATTCAGAATTGAGGTTTTTGCTTCTCAAACACATCATGTAGTTGTGATGTCCATTAATTAAAAGGCTCACACATTTTAACTAGGTTGGCAGTAATCATTGCTATTGACTCTTTTTCAGGGTATGAGCATTATAGAGCAGCTAGATCCTGTATCTTTTAGCAATTACTTGAAGAAATACCATAATACAATATGTGGAAGACATCCCATTGGGGTATTATTAAATGTAAGTACCACTCTTTGTGAAAATGTTGACTTCTTGCAAATTTGTTTAAATTTCTCTCACCAGTAAATTGCTACGGGCCTATTACCTCTGAGACTGGAAGTCTGAATCCAGTTTGTTTTCCCAAGTTTTCAAACTCTGTAATTTTCTAGGCTGAAACACAGGCAAACTTACCTTTTACCACAGCTGGGATTTTCAAAAGTGCCTAAGAGAGATAAACATCAAGTTCCATTGAATTTCAATGTGAAATGGGCAACTAACTCTCCTAGACTCCTTTGAAATTCCCATCCCTAGTGAAATGTACAATATTAATTCCTGAATCAATGGTGGTAGCATATATATTTTAAAGAAAGTATAAAGAAGAACAGGAGTACTTGTGGCACCTTAGAGACTAACAAATTTATTAGAGCATAAGCTTTCGTGGACTACAGCCTCTAATAAATTTGTTAGTCTCTAAGGTGCCACAAGTACTCCTGTTCTTCTTTTTGCGGATACAGACTAACACGGCTGTTACTCTGAAACCTAAAGAAAGTATGTTTGCCTGTATATTATTTATTTGGTGATTGTGAACGTATTGTGGCTTCTGACACTATTTCGAATGGGAGTTGCACGCAACTCTGAACCAGCTCCTAAATTAATAGCCATTATGGGCCAGATTCTATGTTATATTCTGGCTACTGTGTGCTCCTCTGGTGATACAAAGCAGCTGTAAACTTGGCTTAATTAGCTGATCACAGTGGGTTTGTGGCTGCTTCACAGCATTGCTGGATTCGTGCAAACCAGCGAGACAGTACTGGTGACTTTAGTCTTGTATTTTTAAATGTAATTTAAAACACAAATGGGAGGGACATTATTCTTTTTTTATTTTAACCAGGGAGGGTGTTATTCATTGGGAGGTTGAATCTCTGTGGAGAATACACTGAGGAATCTCTACAGGAGGGGGCCTGCGAAAAGATCTCTATTTGCAGTGTCTATATTGGGAAGAGTATTAAAAAAAAAAAAAAAAAAAAAAAAGTTAAATGTTGTAGCTATGACCATGTTACCAAAATCACAGGAGTCTTTTTGTTAAAAATAATTCTACAATTTAGCAATAAATCTAGGTCCCTACAGTTTGTTGTCTCTCTTGCTTCGCATTTTCCTTCTCTTAATGGTCCAACTGCCTCAAAGACTACAAGCACCAGTATTCAGTTTGCCTCTTGTAAAAATTTCCTACTGCACATAAGATTAGGTGAGGGAGGGGTCTCTCTGCATGAATAATAGGGAGTCACATAGGTGGGGTCTCTCCAGAAGGTGTCCGTGGAGTATTTGGGGGTTTTGAGGAAAGGAAGGAGCTGCAGGAACGCATTCAGTCCAATTGAAGGAGGGGGCTGGGGACTAAAATAGCAGAGTCTGGTGGCATAAATCATCTTGTGAATAACTTGTCCTTAACGTGTTTGTTTTTTTCTTTTTTGTTTTCATATAGGCTATAACAGAGCTCCAGAAGAATGGAATGAATATGAGCTTTTCATTTTTGAATTATGCCCAGTCAAGCCAGTGTCGAAACTGGCAAGACAGCTCAGTGAGTTATGCTGCTGGAGCACTAATGGTCCACTGAACCTCCGAACACTCAGGGATGCCACCTGCACACATACTATGTACGGGGTCCCAGCCTAGCCCTCACAAAGATATGGTTCCTGGTCTTCGGGTATACTGAAACCTCAAACTAATAGAACTCTCTTCTTTTCCAGTAGGTGTAGTCCTTCCTTAGTTTCAACTCATTTAAAAATGCTTTCTTGTTAAACCAATGGAAGGAAGGCTTGTGTCAAAACTTTGTGATTTAAAAAAAAAGATAATGTCTGTAAAGGCCTGGTGGTAGACAGTCCTTTCAAATATAACATGTAAAGCATTTACCATATCCTAAATTTGCACTCTTTGCAGACCTGTGCACATGTACTCAGCTTTCAGAATAGTTTTGCCAGTTGTAAACAGAAAAAAGGGTGGGAGCTTTTTAATGAAAAAAAAGCATTTATAAATGATCCTGTATTAGAATATAATAAAACTCCAGTATAGTCCATTACTAGCTGTGTTGTACAACAGATATCTTCTATTTTAGTTGCTAATAAAGGGCTACACAAACCAAAATAGTCTGATTTAAACTTATTGCTTTGTGTTCTGTATGTGAACTGCTTCTCATTAACATCATTCTCCTCCAGATTCTCATGCCTGATGATAAACTCAACCATTCTGTAAAATACTTTAGAATGTATTTTATATTCCACATTTATGTCATGACTTCTTCATTACAGAATTTTTTTACCTCAAAGCTGTAGAATGAGTTCAGCTTTGCAAATTAATTTTTAAAATCTTTTTTTATATTTTAGTGTTTGCATTTATTTCACAGAACTACATATAAAAATTATCTTTTGGTATATGATACAAATCTGTGTCAAAATAATGATTTTGGTGACTTTTTTAATGTCAAAACTTGATTATTCAATTTATAATGGATACAGTATTTTAATTGCAATAATAAAAATTGAAAACAGAAGTCTGCCAATTAGGTAATTCTGAAAACATATTCAGCATTCAGAGGTCATTCGGGCCAGACAGTGCTACGTTCATGCAACTGTTCCTCAAGGATTTGATTGAAAAAAGAAATTTCTCACGTTTGAATTCTTTAATAAGAAATCATCTTAAAAAAATTCTGTTTCTTCCAACCTCTTGAAACATCACTACATCTTATGGGTTTCTTGAGCACTTCTCCAACCAAAATAATGGTAATTGTTTGTTCAATTAATACCATTTTTGGAAGTCTTCATTTTGTTTAATAAGTAGTGCAAATTGCGATGGCAGTAGTTATTGTTTAAGTAAATGGAGTTAACATTCCCTGACATTTGGTCTACTGTCAGGCGACCTTTGTATGTCTCATACTTGTCGCTTTTTTGGGTGGGGGAGAACATCTTTGTATGCAGACACTACTTGCAGAAATAATTCCGCATCTAATTTTCCCTTAATTGGATGGTCACCACTTCAGTGATATCAGGTGAATGCTCCATTTATAAAATGAACTACTTTGCAGATATTTTTATGCCATCATAAGCATCAGTCTTCACTCTTTGCATGGCTTCTCTATATTAGTTGCCTTGCTGCTCTGACTTGTTCCTGGAAACTCTCAGCAGCAGATTGATAAAGCCTGAAAGATTATTTTCTAAGAAAATCTCAAATATGTACAAATATATCTGAATTTGTATACTCTTCTATAAAGTTTCAAAGGTTTCTGATGACTGTGCCTTATTTAGCAAAAAACATTTTATCATTGAAATTAGCATTATTTTGCTTCTCTTCCACATGTTAGTGAATTCAAGGATTATTTAGAACTCTAATTTCTGTTAGTCTTAATGCCAAATACTTATGTCATTTCTGAAACATGCAGGTATTTGGAATCATTAAATATTTTTACCCTAAGGTAAATGTAGTAATAGCCTTTAAATAAAAATATTTTTTAAGTTGCCTCATAGTTCTGTAAGAAGATATTTTTGTTGTTATTTTTTTTTAAAAAAAGGAAAGTTCCAAGGAAATCTATAGCCATTTTGCTCAGCACAATGTTCTGAAATATCTCATGGTGAAAGCACTTCTCACCACATGTAAACTATGTAATGTATTTCACAATAAAGTTTCTAATTAAAATTGGAATTTCTGAGCCTACTAATCACGCTGATAATTTTGCTGAAAAACTCCCAAACTGGCCTCCCGTACTGTTGCAATCATGGAGACTTAATCAGAAGGACTTGTGGTAGAACTGCCTGTCTTGTGAGAACAGGACGCCTCTAGTGTCAGATATACATATACGTTATATATATATATATACGGTTGCCTTGATTTTGGCTTAATTTGAAGAATTTCTAGGTGTCTCCGTTTAAATATGTCAAAAAGGGAAAGAAATTAAGAAGCCAAATATAAGAATCTTTAAAGGACCAATCTTTAAAGAACCTTTACTGAAGACCAGAACAACATTGTTCCAGCTTCACTGAGGACCTATTACATGCTCTTCTCATTCAAATAAGGGTAACATGCTCTTTGGGACAAATGCTGATTGCCTTACTTAGATGAGCAGACCCATTCACCTCAGTGGGACTATTGTAGAAAGGGGAGAAGGATTTGACCCCTCTTTTATAGCATTAAATATCATTAAAGAAAGTGGTTCTCGCAGTCAGTTTGTGTTACATAATTGGGTACACACACACACACACACACATCAGATGAAAATGTTATTGATTACAAAAACAGAATTATCTTTTTGTTTTTCTGTTTGAGTACAGGTTCCTAGTTTATTTTTAAAATAACATCACTGCAGGATGCTTATTCCTGGATCTCATGCTTCCAGCTTGAAACAGGGCCAAATTCTTATAAGATTTTGAACCCACTGAGGCGCTGGGAGCAGTGGTTAGCGCATACGGTTAGCGCACCCTCAAAGTGGGTTACCTGCTGGAGCCCTCAATTCCTTTTCTGACCATAGTCCACAAAGGTGCTCTCCTCAGGAGAATTTAAGCAAATGCTGCGCTAGCTCTCACCAACTCACAACCTGTTTCTTAGAAATTAATTTCTCACCCAATCTGAGGAGCTATTCATGATGATCTGGATTATCCGAACCCAAGAGTGCCCTCTCATTTCAGCCTCAAGCCCTCCTACAGCTCAGTTCCATTGCAACCCCTCACTTGGAGCTTTTTCAGAATTGTTACTTTAGCATGTCCTGGCATTTCTGTGCCCAATTCTATTGTTCATTGTATTCCATTTAGTGCTGCTTCACTTTGTCTTGAGGCCTCAGCATTTTGTCACACACTTTTCTTAGCGCTTTGAATTGGTGCTTCTGGCAACTCTGGGTGTCTTCTCTTGGTACTGGTGGTATGTGTAGTTTCCCGATACTTTGGAACTTTCTCTGGATGGTTTGGTGGGATTTTTCTGTAGTTCATTTCTTTCGTTTTCAGGATGTTATTCTCTTCCTCCATTCCCTCCAAGAAATGAAGAGAACCAGAAGTTTCAAAAGAAATGCTTGATTTTGAAAGACGTTGGTCATTGCTAAGTGCAGCTGCTAGTTCCTCAGCCTTAGAGTAGAGTCTGACTTAGGTCGGGGAGAAGGGAAGAGAGATCTGCCTTGAAAAGTTACCCAAAGCCATCAAGTTTCATGGAGAACATCAAATCCATTCTAGAGACACCCCTGGTTCTCTCTCACTCCACCACAGGAGACTGCCATCAGTTGAGCCTGCAGCTGGACCCGGAGGAAGTCTTCAGCATGAAAGCCTTAGTTTCTTACATGCAAGGCCACCTTATTAGTGATGGCAACTACAACGTGTAACTGAGCTTTAGAATCTAGTGTAGCATGTCTGAGGGATATTTTAATATTGGACATATGTAAGATAGCCAGATGGTCCTACATACACTTGCAAAGCTTGGATTCAGTCTCTAGGGAGGATCCGGCTTTATTCTTTCAGTAATGCAGAATCTGTTACCCAAATTGTCCAGATCCCTAGAGCTTTTGTTTCTTTTGGGTTGTCCCTTATTTAAGTCTGTCTTAAAGTTCTTTTTTCGAGCACACCTCCATCCAGGCTTTCTGTTCATGCCTTGGGACTTTGGGGGGTATTTTATCCCTACTGTACCTAACTATTTTAAATGTTCTTGTTTCTTCCATGCTGAATATTAGTCTAATTTGTACACTCCTTGTTGCAGTGTTGTTATTTTGGGATATCTCTCACGCTGCTTGTTCTCCAAGAGTGAAAATCCTGACTTTAGAGTCAGAAAAATGACTTATCCGTAATTCTGTTGGGATAGTTTTTAAGGATTCATTTTTACATTAGTTATTCTTTTTAGCCAGGTGTGCTTGCTTCCTCTCTTCTTCAGGAACTAACAAGAAGATTTTGGTAGCATGTGCTGGGCAATATGAGGGGAGGGGAATGCACAAAGACTGCTACTATTGCTGCTTTAGAAGGTCAGAAACCTTAGAGGAGTTCTGCCCTGTCTTGTGCTAGGAGCACAAACCCCGTGAATGAGAATCCTTTGTCATATGTTCAAAGAAATAAAACGAAAGGTAAGTAAATTTATCTTCTTGGTCTTCAGTCCAGTCTGCCAATCATTCTTACAGGATTCTAAAGTGAGATCAGGAACTGATGATAACGCACTCTGTTTTAGCCAACGTGTGTGATACACAAAGGATGCTCTTTCCAGTCATGCAGTTCCGATTCTTGTTAATAATTATGTGTGCACCAAGAAGAAAATATGCATCATGAAATGTTTTGGAAGGTTTCAGGAAATGGAAATACCTGATCTACTGTTTAAATTTTTTACCCTAATTTAGGGGTTCTTTCATTCAAGCTAATTCAAAAGGAACTGTTTACTGTGCCCAGTGAAGTTAATGCCAAAATTTATATTGACTTCAATGATGCAGAATCTGACCCTTTGTATTGTGCTTTTTGTGTCTTTGTGGCAATGATTTAGTTCAGTGAGGTTAAAATGATGTGGGATCAATTACTTTGGTGTAAACAATATTTTCTAAAAACAACTTCATGATTCAGAATTTCTGGTGTAAAATTATGTTTAAAATTGAGAGAGTTTTTGTGATGAGACTTTTGAGAGATCTGAGCCAAGAGGCCATTCAGAGAAGCTTCCTAGCAGTGGGATATGGAGCTACTGAAATGAAAACAAAACAGGTATATCTCCATATGTATAACTACAACTATCTCATAGAGCTGGAAGGGACCTTGAAAGGTCATCGTGTCCAGTCCCCGGCCTTCACAGCAGGACCAAGTACCGTCCCTGACAGATTTTCGCCCTAGATCCCTAAATGGCCCCCTCAAGGATTGAACTCTCAACCCTGGGTTTAGCATACCAATAGTTCTTGTGATTGTAATACCATAGGGTCAGGCATGATCCATGATGTCTTTTTTTCATGACTTTTTAAATGCTTGCGTATATAGTTATTACATACATGAGCTCCCTAGGTTCAAAAGCAAAGTGCTGATGTGGTCAACTTTCAGAGGTTCAGAAGAATTTAGCCGTAGTTGCTTGTGTCATTCAGTGACTATTAGAAATGGTCTTTTCACTGTAGACATGCTCATCTCTTGCTAATAGAAGTAGTAGTGTTCTTCTCT